CCCCCCCCCCCTTTCCCCGCCGGGACCCGGCAGCCGGGCACGGGGAAAGCAGGACGAGCCTGCGGGGCAGGCAAGAAGCAGGATGAGTATGTATGGTACATTAAAAGACTCTATCGTGTCTCTTAAAACCAGTTCCCGTCCTCCTTGGCAATGATCTACAGTCATACCGTCAACTCTCCCACTGCCTCCTCCTCCTCCTATTCCTCCTCCTATTCCTTGACCCATCCGCCCCCCTCCTTCTTGCCCTCTATCTCCTCTCTCCTCCCTCCCAAGTTCCCCTCCTCCTCCTGCACTTACCTCCATCATCGTGCTGTCGTCTCTGAACTCAAACTCTCGTCCAGCCATCACCACCTGCCAGCATTCAATATGCTTCCTCTCTTCCACCTCCCGTTCCCTTCCTCTTGCCCCTCAACCTTCCTCCTTCCTCCTCCCCCCTTCAACCTTCCTTCTTCCTCCTCCCCCCTTCAACCTTCCTCTTTCCCCCTTCAACCTCAGTCCTTCCTCTTCGTCCTCCCCTCACACCCTAACCCCTCCCTCCCCCTACCGTGTCTCCTTGCTTGCAGCCCGCGCGAGAAAGAGACTCCTTGACGCCAGAGACCCGCAGGATGTAGAAGAATCGCTCCTCAGCCTCGGAGTAGTCGAAGTTGGTCATCTCGATCAGTCTCTGCCAAGCTTGTGAGAAAGAGAACAATGCGGGGAGGATGGGGAAGAGGATGCGGAGAGGGAGGAGGAGGAGCGAAGAGGATGGGGAGGAGTGAGGATGGGGGGGAGGGGGTGTGGAGGAGGTAGGAAAGCCAGTGGCCAGTAACGGGGAGCTGAGAACGAGCTTGCGAGACCTTGAGTCCTTGATCTGCGACTAGTTCCCACACGCCAGGCCCGCGGCTGATGACCTGCAACAACACTTGAGGAGCAGGAGGCATGATCGGAGAAGAGAGGAGAAGAGGGGGAGGCAAGAGAGGGAAGGAACTGGAGGGAGGAGCAGCAAAGTGGAGGAGATGAGAAGAGCAGGAAAGAGGGGGGAAGTGAATGTAGAGGAGGAGGAGAGAGGAGGAGAGAATGATGACGAGAGAGGATGAGACATGGTACCTCATGCCTTTCATGTTGCTTTCCAGCTTTCTTCTGCAAGGCATCGAATCAGATCGTTTCCTTCCTCCTCCTCCACTGCCTCCTCCTCCTCCTCCTCGATTTACTCCTGGCACTCCCCTCCTTCTATCCCTCCCTGCTATTCCCCTCCTGCTCCCCTTCTCTCTCTTCCTACTCCTCTCACCCGCATGAGCGCCTCCTCTCTTTGGATCTCTTCCTCTGTCTTCTCTTGCAGCTCCTCGTCGAGTTCAGCAGGAGGCATCTTGTCCAACATGCTCCTCAGCCGAACCTTCTCTTGCTCGTGACAAACTGCAGGCGGCAAGTACAAGAAGCAAACCATGATGGGCATGATGTTGGTGGAGGTAGCTGCGCTGATTGCATCTGCTCCACCTGTTCAGTACACTCTCCTCCTCCTCCTCCTCCTCTTCTCAATTCTGACTGCAGCTTCTCTTCCCTCCCTACCGCCGCTCCCCTTTCCTTCCTCTTCCTCCTTCTTCTGCTTCCTGCTCCTTCTATCTCACCCCTCCTGTCCCTTTCCTCCTTTTCTTTGTCCCACTCGTATCAGCTTCACTCACCGATTCTCTTATGCCCTGCCTGTTCTTGCAACTCCTTTTGCAGCGTCGGCCATCTGCACAATAAACAAGTCGATGTCAACAATGCGATTACTTACGTGCTGTTAGATGTCAAGGTTTGAGCTGACCTTTCTCTTGCAGACGGCAAGTCCATCTTGTTGATGAGAATGACCTGGGAAACATAGAAGATGACTACAACGTCCACAGCAATAGTTCATGTTGTCTTGGTCACGATCATCATCATCATCTTTATCCTCTCACCTGCGGTTTTGCTGCAAGTTTGGGACTGAACAACTTGAGTTCGTTCTGAATGCAATTGAAATTCTTGATCGGGTCCTCTGCATTCGAATGGGATGTGAGGAAAAAATCAGAATGAATGAGAATGGATTCGACACATGAGAGTTGAGATTGCAGGAAGACGAGGAGTAATAACATGATGAGAGGGGGAAAGGGGACAAGAAGAAGAAGAGGAGATGATGATGATGATGATGATGATGACGATGACGATGATGATGATGATGATGATGATGAAAGAAGAAGAGATCATGAGCGGGAAACGGATGTAAATAAGGATGAGTTGAACAGCGGAGATGAGCAAAAAGAACAACAAGAAAAGATGGATTTTCAATGACCTGACGATCCATCGATGACATGAAGAAGAATTCGGCATCTCTCAACATGGCGAAGAAATGCTTGACCGAGACCAATACCTGACATTCATATCAATAGGAACAACATGGTTACTTATGCAATCATCTTGGCATAGTCACCATCACCATCACCATCACCATCACTATCATCATCACTATCATCATCACCATCACCATTACTAACATCACCACCACCACCGTTATCGTCGTCGTTGTCATCTTACCATTGTGAGCTCCTTCGATCAGTCCTGGAATGTCTGCAAGCACAATGCTCCTCCGCTCAGCTCCAGGAAGCTGAAAAACATGTCAGAGAGACATCAACCAGCGTGCGAGAGCTGCAGCAGTGCAACACTCTTCGTCGTTATCTCCTCTCCTCCCCTCCCTTTTCCTCTCCTCCTCTCCTCTCCTCCCTTCTCCTCTCCCCCCCTCCCCTCTGCTCTGCTCTGCTCTGCTCTGCCCTCCCCTCTCCTCCTCGCCTCTGCACTCACAACGCAGACTCCAAGATTGGGTACGATGGTGGTGAAAGGATAGTCGGCAATCTTCGGTTTGGCGTTGGTGATGGAGGCGAGGAGGCTCGACTTGCCTGAAATGAGAAGAAGAGTGAAGACGAGCAAGAACAACAGGGAGAGAGGGGGCAAGAGAAAAGGGGAGAGAAGAGGAGTGATGAGATATGAGCAAGGGGAGACTAGAGGAAGGGAGGGAGGGAGAGAAGAGTAGAGCAGTGGTGCGAGGAGGGAGAAGCAGGTACCAGCATTTGGCATCCCAACAATCCCAATATCAGCGATCATTTTGAGCTATTGGTTCATCAGTGAGGAGATAGAAACTTCATGGAGAAAGTGATGGAGCAGATGAAAGGTTGTACGAGTTCTCACTTGCAAGTCAACCCATCTTGGAGTCGCTTTTTCTCCCAGCTCTGCAAATCCTGGACATCTGGGGACATGGCAAAGGAGGTGTGAGGTTGCAAATATCATGTTGATTAAAGTGGAGGAACATAGAAACTCATCAGAGGTATTAACAAATTGAGAATGTCAACAACGACAGAATCATTTTTCACCTGTCCCTCTCTGTTCTCATCGCTAGATTCCCCCTGATGACAAACATCGTCACTTCTTGTCAGGTGAAGCCAACATGGAAAAGAGATGCAAGGTAAAGACATCTAGTGAATCGCATCACAGGAGCTTATTCATCATCACCTTCCCCCCAATCCGCCACGTGCAACTACAAGCTTTTGGCCCGGAGTTCGAAGATCGCCGATGAGAACTCCTGGAAGAAACATCACAAGTTACAACAACAAGACATCGCAAGACGACAGCAAGTATTGCAAACAGCCAACAACACACATTTTCTATTTCACCACCATCGTCTCACCTGTTTTCGCATCTCTGACGATAGTGCCCAGAGGGACCCGAATCTTTCAGAGCCAATCTCAGAATTTCAAATTCCACTCTCATTGATCAACCTCAGTATCTGGAGCGGCGGGAGAGTCTTTTCCTTTCCCCTGTCCTCTCCTCCCGCACTCTGTCCACGTTTCTCACTTCCTCCTCCTCCCCTCCTTGTCTTTCACCCGCCACGATGTGCAAGCATGAACGAACATGCGCCAGCGTGTTGTCTCCTTCGTCGGCTACAAAGATCACGTCGCCTCCGCTGAAGGAGAAAGTCAAAAACAAGGCCAAGAATGCAAGGGTAGAACAATAACTTCCAACGCACAAAATTAAACAAGACAGGGAGGGAGGGAGAGGTGAGGTGAGGGAGGATAGTGTAATAGTGAAGGACAGGAGGGAGACAGAAAGTGGACGGGAAGAAGAGAAGGGAGAGGAGGGAGAGGAGGGAGAGGAGGAAGCGGGAGGCGAGAGGAGGAGAGGAGGTGCGAGGCGAGAGGAGGACAAGAAGAGGGAGAAGGGAGAGCAGCGCATGTTTCCATCCCATCTTTCATCTTGACTCACTTCCCGCCGTTTCCACCAAACGGGCCTCCCATATCGACATGAGCTTCTCTCCTGAAGGCAACTTCCCCGTTCCCTCCATCTCCTCCTTTCACAAAGACCCTGTTCACATCATCGTCATTGCCATTGCCATTGCCATCGTCATTGTCGTCTTTGAATCATCATCATTCATCATCATCATCATCATCATCATCATACATACATACATACATACATAATCATCATCTCCATCATCATCGACAAGATGAGTCACTTAATCTTGCCTGCATTGATCGAAGAATAACCATTCACTCGCTCTCTTCCTCCACTCGTCCCACTCTTCTCCTTTCTGCGCCAACATTGGGTTCTCATCCCAATCGTAATAAACTTCGTTCAATGTCGTGTCATCCTGCAAAAGAAGGAATTCAGGAGCAAGCCCAACAACGCAAGCACTATGAATAATTCCGCTCTTTCTCGTCTCACCTCTGATAAATCGTAGCTGAATTTCATCTTTCGGAGGTTTCCCCTGTTGCAAAACAAACAGTGAACAGCTTACAGAGAAGATCTTCACAATGCACAAACTTTTCATCGTGGTAGAAGATTCCCTCCCGTTCCTACAACCAACTATCACACAAACTCTACAAGAGCGTCTCACATACCACTGGCGCATCATTGAAAGGCTCCTCCTCCTTTTCAAATATTGAGTTTGAGCCTGCGATGCAAACTAAGCGTCAGATCTGGGACAGGATCGTTTCGGGCACCTTCGAAGACATTGGGGTCTTTCTTCGAGCGCCGGGGAGGAGGGGGAGGTCGTCTGTGCATGGATACGATCAGCCATGGCATGTGGAGGAATGAACTTGGAGCAGCAGAGGAGAAGAGGAGCAGCGTGGGACAAGTGAAAAAGGACAGAAGTGCGAGCAGGAGGGGGACAGAGGACAAGGAGGGAAGAGAGAGACCTGTTAGGATCGAGCGAGGAGCACTGGAGGTTGAGCATTCTTCCTCTTTGCCTTGATGTCATTCTCTGCCGGATAAAAGGACATCTGAACGCCGCACAAGGCAAGTCAGGTGTATTGGGGGAATATGAAAACCCTTGAGCACCTCGATATGCCTGGAGAAATCTTTGAAGCACTGTGAAGAGGATGAAGGTTGCCGACGAAGGCGAACTGCATGGACTGCAAGTCTCCTCTCAGTTGCATGCCGAGTGAAGGCCCTGGTGCTATCAAGACTTTCCCTCCCCTGATCTACTTCACGACCCGACAACTCAACACACCTCCCACCCCTCCTTGCTCTTTTCCTCCTCAACGACCTTTTTCCTTGACTGTTGTGCTTGTACCTTTCATTCCCCCGTGCGCACGCCATATCTTTCCTACTCTTTGTCTCCCTCCTACATTATGAACCCCTCCTCCCCTAATCAATTCCCCCCTCTCCACCTTCCTCTTCTACTTCCGTCACCTCCTGTCTTCCCTCTTCTGGTCTTCATCTCTGTTTCTCATACCATCCTCTTCCATACCCCTCTTCCTCCTCCTCCTCCTCCTCCTCCTCCTCCTCCTCCTCCTCCTCCTCCTCCTCTCTCCGTGTCGATCTGTTTATCTTTGTGCTTCGCAGAGACAAGGCAGCATGTCAACCTCTCTGCTACTTCATCTGCGCCAACTTCTCCTCGC